TCCATCAGTGGCTATTAGCCACAAGGTATAGATAGGGACTCTGGGGCAAGGGATGAGCTAGGAGAGCTAAAGTTGCCAGGAACAACAATTATATTTGTTACTTCTTCTCCCAAAGAGTGATTAACACATGGAATTCACTTCCACAGGAGGTGGTGGCAGGTACAAGCATGGACAGCTTCAAGAGGGAATTGGATAAACATATGGAGCAGAGGTCCATCACTGGCTCTTAGCCACAAGGTATAGATAGGAACTCTCATTCTGGGACAAGGGATGCTCTGTATTCTTGGTGCCTGGGTGGAGGCAACAGTAGGAGGGCTTTTGGTGTCCTGGCCCCACTGCTGGACCTCCTGATGGCACCTGGTATTTTTGGCCACTGTGTGATACAGAGTGTTGGACTGGATGGGCCATTGGCCTGATCCAACATTGGCTTCTCTTATGTTCTTCTGTCGGAGAGCTGTGCATGTTCCAGAAAACCAGTGTATATTTTTGGTAGGCTCTGAATCTTTAATCATAGGAACGAGATAGCTGCAGGGAAATATGCTGGTTTTGTTGAAATAATAATAATATTATATTTTTTAAAAACTTCACTGAGGAAGTCAGGTCCGCATGTTCACGAGAAGCAAAAAATTAACGATGCAAATGACATAGATTATGCAAATGTTGGATGATAAATGATTGACAGAGTGTTGGACTGGATGGGCCTTTGGCCTGATCCAACATTGGCTTCTCTTATGTTCTTATATATGGAATACACTGTCTGGGGCAAGTGATGCTCTGTCTTCTTGGTGCTTGGGGGGGTCAACAGTGGGAGGACTTCTAGTGTCCTGGCCCCACTGGTGGACCTCCTGATGGCACCTGGTATTTCTGGCCACTGTGTGACAGAGTGTTGGACTGGATGGGCCTTTGGCCTGATCCAACATTGGCGTCTCTTATGTTCTTATGACCACCAAAAGATTGTGTGATGATGTATGCAGGCAGCATGGGGGATTGTACCTGGAGCGATGGTCCTTCAGGTATACAGCCCCAGATCATTATGAGCTTTCCAGCTTTTCCATAGGAAGAGGTAAAGTAAGCACAGTTGGAACCAATGTTCCCTCTAAGCTGTAGAGTCTAGTGAGCAAAAATTCTACTGTGTGAGCTACTGGCATTAAAGTTGTGAGCGAGCGATTTGACTACTGCATAAATTAGTTTGCTCTGGAGCCATCCTTCCTGAGCGAAGAGAAAAATGTGTGAGCCGGAGACTAAAAAACTGTGAGCTAGCTCACACTAACTCAGTTTAGAGGGAACACTGGTTGGAACATCCACTTTTTGATGAACCGAATTCCTTTGTCCCATAAGCTTGCAAAAAGATGGCTTGCACAGAACTTTCCTACAGAGAAATGCTATCCGCATTGGTAATAGCCGCAGAGGACCATGTGCACATTGGGGGGTGTTTGGAATTAAGAACTCATCCAGTTCTTAATTTGGCGCTGTTTAGATGATTGAAACATATTTATCGTTCCACTTTTACTTAAGAACTGTAATGGATTTGTTCATTACATATCTTTGGGGGAAGCGGTTGATTCTGCTCATGTAAGAACCCCTGCTTTTCTCCCCGCTTTCATCTCTGCCTCCAACTGTTTTTTAAAGTGTTTGAGACCGAAACTACAAAGGGCACTTCATAATTAATTATTGTACTGATGGGTGGTGTTTCTTGAGAGACGTGCAGTTGGTAATACACTTGAAGGGATGTTTTGATGGAGACGGCTTTGAGGAGTGACAGGTGACAGATGTCTGCCGTTGTCTCTGTCAGTTTTTTTTAAAAAATCCAATATCAATCCACGTCTTCCTCCTCCTTCTCCACCCCCGCAAGCTTATAGAATAAAGTGCCGCGCACGTCACATCCCGATATTTCTTGGCTTGCTTGGTTTTGGCTTGAACGCTTTCCGCCGTTAGTGAAACAGAGAAGAGGGTTAGGGCCACATAGTTATGAAGGCTGCGTGGCGTAGAATGAAGGAACAGCACGTGGCAATTGGCTGATACATTGATTAGGGTTGCCAACCTCCAGGCGGGGCCTGGAGATCTCCTGGAATTACAACTCTTCTCCAGATGACAGAGATCAGCCCCCCCCCCGAAGAAAATAGTAAGAGTCCAGTAGCACCTTAAAGACTAGCAAAATATGTGGCAGGGGATGAGCTTCATGAGTCACTGCTCCCTTCTTCAGCTCCTAGGT